TCCGCCCCCTCCCACCCACTCGGGGGCCAGGCTCCGCCCCCGGCCAGGTCCCGCCCCCGCCGGGCGCCGGGTCCTACAGAAACTGGGGCCCCGCCCACGTGCTGGCCCCGCCCACGTGCTGGCTCCGCCCACGCCGCTCAGGGCCGAGGCCGCTTTCCCGCAGTAGTGCGGACTGAGAGCTGAGGCCGGTTCAACCGGCTGGGGCTTTGCGCCTGTACCCGGCCCAGGGTCCAGACCCCTCCCTACTCTACTCGCCTACCGTTCGCGGCCCGGCCCTGTGAGGATCAGATGGGCCAGCTTTCTCGGCTGTCTGGCTCACTCCAGTCCACTGCGAAACGCGGGGAACAGCGGGAGTGTACAAGACATTTTATTAAACAGAAGGAGCGGGGCGGGACAGGGAGCAGGACGCTCCCTCACTCGGCGTAGGTAGTGTCCTCGTTGCTGTCACTGAAGGCGGAGGAGGAAAGCTCCTCCCGCGGCGTGCAGACCGGGCACCGCTGCCGCATGTCGTCCCAGCATGAGCTGCAGTACACCGCCCCGCAGTCGGGCGTCGGGCACACGTAGGACTCCGACGTCTCGGGCGCCTGGCACACCACGCAGTGCCGACGCAGCCAGCGGCGCAGGAGCGGGCAGCGGCGATGCAGGGTGTCTACCAGGTGGTGGCGCTGTTGAGAGGTGGGCGCGGATAGAGCCCGTTGGGTAGAGAGTGGGGGAAAGGAGTTGCGAGGGGAACTGGGCGGCGCTGCTTGTCTGAAGTCACAGGGCCTGGCATTGTCTGCACGTTGGAGGAGGCTGAGGTGGCCAAGACCGCAGGAGGGTGAGGGTGCTGTGGAAAGGAGTCCTAGAGTGGTGCAGGCTTTAAACCCTCTGCCAGGGAACTCTCTTGCAGCTTCCTGTCAACCATCGTATTCGGTTCTCACAGTGAGGGTGAGGAGCGAGTAGGGCGGGTGGGCTATCACCATCATCCCCACAGTACGGGTGATGAAGGCGAAGTGACTTCCCTAAAGCCACACAGAACATTCAATCCTGGCTTCTACATCATAAGCCTAGTTCGTTATACACCCTTCCCCTGGACCCGCACCCTGTCTCCACTCCATTGCCAGAAATTGTTGCAGGCACCTATCAGGTCACTCTGCTCAGGAAACCCCAGAGGCCCTGCTGCCTGCCGGACAAAGGCAGAACTCCTGGGCTCGGCTTTCAGAGCCCGCCATAATCCCATCCCTTTCTAGCCCTTGGCTGTAGTTGTTGCCATAGGGCAGGTGTGCCCACCAGAGACAGACGGTGAGAGGGGATTCCCCTTGGGGATGGTCACACAAGTCTCTTCTCCATTCTCCTCTCGGGATTTTGGGCACATATGCACATGTGCCTGCTGTCATTTTCAAGCAGGTCTGGACTCAAATTGCAGTCAGGAGTCCAGTGCCTTAGCCTCATGGCCGCATGCTGGCCCCTGTTTTTGGCATTCTTTTTTTTTGGAGAGTTTTTGTTTGTTTGTTTTGTTTTGTTTTGTCTTGTTTTTGCTATAGGGCGCGTGCGCTTGCCAGACAGACAGAGACAGAGAGACAGAAAGTGAGAAATCACCACCCCCAGGGGGGATGGTTACGCCGCAATCCCTTCTCCTCCATTCTCCTTTCGGGATCTTGGGCACGCACACACGTGCCCGGCGTTTTAAGCCCCTGGGTCCGGGACGCGAACCGTGGTCGACTACATGGGAGTCCAGCAACATAGCCATTACGCCAACTGCTGGTCCCTGTTCTTGGCATTCTTTCTGGACTCTGAGACTTTACATATTCTGTTCCCTCAGCTGAGAATAAGTGTTCTTCACATTTCCATCTATCCATTGAAGTTCAGTTTACTCCAGGACCTAGAACATACTCAGTTTTTTTTTTTGGGTGGGGAGAGGTTTTGGCTATAGGGCACGTGCACGTGCCAGAAAGACAGAGACAGAGAGACAGAAAGCAAGAAATCACCTCCCAGGGGAGATGGCCACACCGCAATCCCTTCTCCTCCATTCTCCTTTCGGGATCTTGGGCACGCACATACATGCACACGCACCCCCGGCATGAGTTTAAGGCACCGGGTCCAGGACTCAAACCACAGTCGACTACGTGGGAGTCCAGCAACATAGCCATTATGCTAACTGCTGGGTCCCAGAATCTCGGTATTTTCATGTGCATTGTGGTTGCTGTTTGTTTTTTTATTCGGACCTTGTTATGTGTCGTGGGAGCTGGGGGGACCTAGACATTGGAGAATAAGCAAACAGGGTCTCAGTTTATGAACTTCCTTAGAGCTGATTAAATGAGAAAGCTGCTGCTCGTTATTATGTTTATAATGTCAGGTCCGGGCCAGCAGATGGCATAGTGGTTATGTCTCTGGACTCCCACATAGCCAGCCCTGGTGGCTTGGACCTCATGGCTTGAAACTCATGCTGGGTGAGTGTGCATGCATGCCCGAGGTCCCAGGAGGAGTGTGGGGGAGAAGGGGTTGTGAGTGGTCATACCCCTTGAGGGGTGATTTCTCATTTTCCCGTTCACTGTCTTTCTCTTTCTGGCAACTGCATGTGCCCTAAGACAAAAAAATCTCTTAAAAAAAAAAAAAAAAGTGCTTGACTTAATCTCATGTTATTTTGTTTCTCATGGCCCATCTAGTAGGACAAAATGTATACATGGAAGACATCATTGTTGCTGATCTTGACCATGTGTAGTTGTAGGTTAATGTGTGTGTTAGTTCTGAACAAAAAAGTTTGAAAAATAATAAATAAATAAATAGGGGCCAGCAGGTGGCATGGTGGTTAAGGGTGCTAGACTCCCACATGCCTATCACAGTTCAAATCCTGGACCTGGTGGCTTGCTTTCTCACTTTCTCTCTCTCTCTGTCTTGCTCTGGTCAAATTGAAAATAATAATAATAATAAATAAAATAAAATAATTATTTTAAAAATAAAAAATACATGTAATGTCAGGTCCTGGACTAACGAACAGTAAGTGAACTCAATTCAAACAATAACGACAGGGAACCAGCGGTTAGCGTAATGGCTATGTCGCTGGACTCCCACGTAGTCGACCGCGGTTCGCGTCCTGGACCCGGTGGCTTAAAACTCACGCCGGGCACGTGTGCGTGCGTGCCCAAGATCCCGAGAGGAGAATGGAGGAGAAGGGATTGTGCCGTGACCATCCCCCCTGGGGGGTGATTTCTCGCTTTCTGTCTCTATGTCTCTGTCTGTCTGGCGAGCGCACGCACCCTACAGTGAAAAATCTCTCCCCAAAACAACAACAACAACAACAACAAAAAACAATAACAACACAAGGCAGATACTGTTTTTTCGGGTGAGAAAACTGATGCTTGGAAAGGGGGTCACTTGCCCAGGTTCTCAGACGACAAACACAAATCTAGAATGTGCCGCATGCCAGCGTCCTGAGAGTAAAGCTCACTTCGTCTACAACAAACGGAAGGTGCAGTAACCCCATCCTACAGGTGGGGCAGCCGGGGCACGCAATTAAGTAATGTGCTGAAGACCACGGACCACAGTTTTCCTACCGATGAGGGAAGGAGCCAGGATTCGAAGCCAGGCCCTCTGTCACCAGAACCCCAGATCCGAACACTGCTCCCTAGTGAGCAGGCCTTACAGGCTGTCCAGCTTCTTCTTTCTTCAGAGGGAGAAAGACGGTGGCCGGGTAAAAGCCGAGGTCGCACAGCTTAATGAGGGAGTGTGGACTGGAACCGAATTCTGACTTGCTCTGCTCACATCCCTCCAGTCCGTGCAGGAGGCCTTCCTAACCCCAGCTCACCTGCCTGCTCCCCCTTGTGAGCTGCACTGAGCTGGTCTACAGCCCTCTCAGAACCCCGTTTTTTGCCCTGCCCCCCCCCATCTGACATTCCCCTCGACAACCAGACTGCATTGATGGGTTCCTTTTTCTGCCTGCTTCCCGACGTCCTGCTGTTTCAGGCTGGACTGAATCCGGGGTATAGGGATGGGCCAGCCCTGACCTGCAGGAGCTGGGTGACTGGGGACCTTAGCATGCTCATTAAACCGGAGTAGGCCTGGGACCGCCCTGATGGGAGGGGGGTGAGACGGAAGGGAGACGCCCCCTCCCCAGAGCTCTAGAACCCAGCCAGCTGGAGTGGGAAGGCCTGACCTACCGGAGCCCTCTGCTGCCGTGCCCTCCTCACAATGGTGGCCCTCCGCAGTCTGGTGAAGGCTGCTCTCTTCCGCAGCAGCTCATTGTAGAGGAACAGCACCCGCTTCTTCTCTCGCTGGGGGCAGGGAGGGAGAGGTAGTGATGGTGGGTGCCGAGGAGGAAGGTGGAGGATGGGGTGGTAAGGAGATGGGTGCAGCTGGGTATGTCGGTTTGGGGGGGCAAAGAGGTCTGGGGAAGGGCACACCTTGGGGAAGTAGAAGGCAGCGATGACCCTCCGGAGTCGGTAGCCGAAGGCCTGGGCCAGGCAGAGACACACTAGCAGGCCAATCGGTAGTGCTGCCCTCCAGTAGGCCTTGGCGTCCAGGGCCACGGGCTGGGGCAGGCAGGCTGCGGAGGAGCGGCCTGTCAGGGGTCTGTTCAGGGCAGCCGGGGTGGCACTCCCCATCTCAGCGGGAAGTGCACTGTAGGCTCTGATTCCCAGCCCTCCTCCTGCCTCCCCCTCCCCTGCAGAGCTATGCTGGCCACACTGTAGCCACTAGACCCTGGAGCTTGTGCACGGAGGCGCTCAGATCTCCGAAGTCGCCATCACGCAGAGAGTGCTGCTGGACAGCGCTGCCGGAGAGGGCGGAGACCCTCTGGACTAAGGACTGCAGACGCCTCTGAGCGGAGCCCTCACCCTCCCCTTCTCCTGTCCCCAACCATCTCTCCACACCCAGTAGCCAGCCCCCCAGCTCTGCCTGGGACTCCTCTGCCCTCATGCCCAGCACCCAGTGCTCTGGTCCAGACTCTCTCAGCGTCACTCACGCATGTTGTTTG